ACCGCCCTTTCTACTTTTTGAACAAAACTCTCTGCTCTTATAGGACAAGGACGTATAAACAGAATGATTGACATTTGGGAGGACCAATAGTGTTGATGATCCACCCGGAAGTAGAAAATCCTCTTGTATACCTTTAAACTTCCACCAAACAACTCATGTTGGATTTTCTGATCTTCTCATAGTTTTCAAATCATGAATCCATAAAATAAATGCTGAAACTGACCTGTTGGGACTGGAACGCAGCACGGACTGTGGTCAGGCTGTGGTCCACACAGCAGCAGGGGCAGAGGCCCAGCAGGGGGCGCTCTGAGGGGGCCGTCTGCACTGCCACCGCCACAAGCACAACACCCACATCATGTGACATCATTTCACCACACTCTGCAAAAAAGTTATTCTTACTTTCTCCACCCGACATGAACCTGAGCAGCACTAGGACCCAGAGATCTGAAACTCCTCGGACTCTGTTTCAGATCAATTAGGTTTTTAAAAATTCTCCTGAATAATTACTTGTTACCAGTAGATTTAGATCCAGATTCAATTATCTGGTGGAGTAACTTTCGTATTGCAGTAAAAGAGATTTTAATATCTGCTTTTGTTTAGATTAACGACACACACACACTCAGCCCCCCGGCCCCCCCTCAGCAGTGCCCCTGGGTGCTCCCCTCTGGCTCCGCCTCTGCCCTGATCTACCTGTTCCTCTTCAGCTCTCAGCAGTACGGCACGGATTCAACCTCATTACACGCTAACAATCAGATTCAGATCATTTGATTTGCTATTTGCAGTAAAACCCCATTGGAATACATGTGCAAGAGGCCACAGTGGGAACCAGACTCTCTGGTCTCTCCTCCGGTCTTTCTCTGGTCTCTCTCTGGTCTCTCTCTGGTCTCTCTCTGGTCTCCCTCTGGTCTCTCTCTGGTCTCCCTCTGGTCTCTTTCTGGTCTCCCTCTGGTCTCTTTCTGGTCTCCCCTGGTCTCTCTCTATCTCTCTCTGGTCTCTCTCTGGTCTCTTTCTGGTCGTCCCTCTGTCTCTCTCTCTGGTCTCTTTCTGGTCTCTCTCTGGTCTCTCTCGGTCTCGTCTCTGGTCTCCCTCTGTCTCCCTCTGGTCTCCCTCTGGTCTCTTCTGGTCTCCTCTCTGGTCTCTTTCTGGTCTCCCTCTGGTCTCTCTCTGGTCTCTCTCTGGTCTCCCTCTGGTCTCCCTCTGGTCTCCCTCTGTCTCCCTCTGGTCTCTCTCTGGTCTCCCTCTGGTCTCCCTCTGGTCTCCCTCTAGTTCATTAGACCTGAAATGGGACAAAATTGTGGTAACTTTAAAATTTGTGTGTGTTCAAAATGGCAGCTTAAAGTGCAGATCACAGGTCACTTCTTCAAATCAGTCAAGTTTCAGACTCTGACTACATAATGGAGGATAAAAAAGTCCATAATATAGAAATAAAAGTAATAATACGGAAAGTAAAACAAAGTACGTACAAGAATCGCAGTTTCTTTGGCAGCTTTGGACTTTGTTTACTTCGTGGTTGCCTTGGTAACTGCGTCTATTTTGTCACACTGTCCAACCAGGAAGTGACATTATAAAGTTATCAAACCAATGTAGATTAAGAAAGACTAAGAAATGTCCAGTGGTTGCAGCGCACTGACAGGACCAGTCCGTCCCCGACGCAACAATAGATACAGCTATAAATGCTTTTAATGTCCAATCTTTCAAAAATATATTATTGCGGAGTTACATGTATTATTGTTAAGGATCACAACAGCAGTCGCTACACAGTAAAACTAGGACATGTAACAAGTTCATCACAACAACAAGGATTATTTAAGCAGTTTATTAAACGACTGATTTAAACTAGGCAAGGCAAGGCAAGTTTATTTATATAGCACAATTCATACACAAGGCATTCAAAGTGCTGAACGAAACAAAAAGCAAATTAAAATCATAAATAATCCACAGAACAATTAAAAAGAAAGATACAAATATAAAAATCCCTCAGTTGTAGCACAGCTAAATAGAACTGTCCTTTAACCTGGTTTTTAAAACAATTGTCATTGGGGAGGGGCCTGGTCGCAACACTCCTTCAGGAAGCACTGTTCCCAGATTTTAGAGCAGCATGCATCTGAAAAGCAGCCTCCCCCCATGTTTTAGTTTCTGACTCTTCCTGGGGCACTAACAGGAGTCTACTCAATGTAATCAGTGGTTTTTTGAACCGGGATCCAAAACCATGTGAGAAAAGGGTCTCTGGCTCCCACTGGAGATGGCCCCTGAATGACAGGGAATAGATTGTAAATAAGTGGGGTTCCCGCACACTGCTGTCCTAAAAAAAATAAATTTGGGTCCCGAGCACCTTCATCAGGCCAAATTATATTAAGTAATAAATTGTAAAAAGCTAAATTTATTCTATCAAAACAGTTAAAGTTACATTGAGGAGTTCATATTGAAAGATACGAAGATGTTTTTAGCTGTGGTTTGCCAAATGTATTAGAACAAAATCATTTTTCCCTTGGTTTAAAATAAAAAACCAAAAATAAATAAAAATACCATAATCCCATAAAGTGATAGAAATACTCGGGGCCGAAACTAATTGGGATAAAATTAAAACCCTCTAAGAGTCATTGGCGGTCCCTTTGGGATAAAAAACTAGGGTTTTACCGATGTCCTTTAAAGGTCCTGGAATCGGTCCCTGGGACCCGGAGGGGGGACCCCTTTTTCTCTTTATCCAACCCGATTTTAAAATACGACTAATTCTCAAGAATAAAAATGTGTATTAGAATAATGTTATTCGTGAAAACGTCTTTGTCTTCATTTTTTTTGCACTTTTAAAAGGATTCCACCCCACAAACACGGATAACAAAAATTTACCCACAAGGGGGGTGAAAAGGGACCACCATTACTTAAAAAGCCATTATCAGGACCTAAACGTTAGCCGTACATAGAAACCCGTGCCAGTTTATTGCGGCATCGCTAGCTCATCCCCCAGCCCACTTCCTGTTTCTTGTGGGGCGCAACCTTCCTGTTTTTGGGGGATCTTTATTACCATTTACCCCACCAATTCCCCCCACAGGACGGGGTCCACAAAGCGCCACACAGGTACCGGTCCACCACTTTCCCCTCTCTCATGGGTGTTTGTCCACAGGGGGTTTTCTCATCCACAAAGCTTGAGCCTCTGCTGTTGTCTGATGCGGAGCTTAGCTGTAAGGCGGGAGGAGGCGGGTCTAAGGCTAAGCTGGCCCTTCTCGGGCTCGCCGGGGGACCATGGTGTAAGCCCGTATGCCGTGGGGGACGGTCTCTGATACAAAAAAAACTGTTGCGGGGACACCTTAAAGTTCCTTTTGTAGACACTCTCATCCGGACCATCAGGGGTAAAACATAGGGGAATCTTCCCACTATTTTATTTTATATGTTTGAGCGGGTTAGGTTTTCCCCTCGACCTTCCCTTACCCTTCTTTCATCCACTTTTCGGGGGAGGCGGTGTCGGGGTGTGTGTTGGAAGGCTGGCAAAGGTCCAAAAAGAATATGTTTAACTTTACTAAATCATTTTTTTTTGGGGGTGAAAAGAAAAAAACGTGAAAGTTTTCTGCTGCTTAATAATCTTTTCTGTTTTTGCCCGCAATTTATTTTTACTTTCTTACGTTTGTACATGAGGATTTATTTCGGGCAAACTGCAAAAATTACGGGGGAGATGGGGGGGACATTACATATTAATTTCAATGTTTTTAAAATGGGGAATAATCCCTTTAATTTAATCGCTAAATATTCAGGCCCATTTGGGGATTCCTACTTTGTTGGTTTCTGCTACTGGAAGTCTGGGATCGTTCGCTTGAGGTTAGCTACAATGAATAGTTTTTGTCAGACCATACCTTCATCAAGTGTCCTTTAACTTTAGCTTTGGACAAATCGGCCTCAATATTAAATGTTTTCAAGAGGATAACAAAAAACAAATACATTCTTTTCATGTTAATAAAGCATGAACACCACACATATTTAGGTAATGGACCGTTTACTTAAAGGTCACTGTGTAGTTTTCACTCCCGTCTTGCATTGAGAACATACATGTAATCAACGTGGCTTCTCTATCCAATCCACTTTATTTTTATAGCACAATGAAACAACAGTTACGTTTTCCAAAGTGCGCAACAAAAAAGTATAAAATCATAACAACTTATCCGTCAGCTTCACCAAGTAAAAAAAAATAAAAATATATAAAACGGATTAAAAATCCAAAAATAGAAATAAAATAAAATAAAAACACAGAGGACGACACGACTCACAACTTCCGTCGTTCCCTCAGGACAATACTTCCAACTCCTGCTCAATCACCCTTTTTGCCCTTATCAGCCCATGTATTCCAAGATGGCGGATTCACACAGAGTGTCCCTCCGCCTCGTGGCAACATTCATAAACTCACATTCTAAACTTTATGACAAGAATTTAAAAACACGGTGGTGGCAAATATTCATAAAAAGGATACATTTTGTATTTGGTTGAAATGTTTTTTTTCGCGTTGGAAGCAACTGCAAAAATTTACACAGAGCACTTTAAGATCAAAGGTTAGACTTTACTAAAACATGCAACTATGGTTTCTGCTATAGTATATTATAGATAGACTTTACACAGGCCATAGCGTTAGCAACAGACAGGAAGTAAACAAGCCCTCTCTGGTTGCACGTAGAAATTAAAAAGTAAGAAAAATAAAATAATAATAACTCGTTTTTTGAAACCAATAGTTACATTGCGGGAAAATAACCATCAACAATCTTTTAAACTTTATGATCTCACGGGAATAAAAATAAATCCAATAAATCACGTCACACAGTAATGAGCAGATGGAACCCACACTTCTTTATAGACTTAACAGTTTAAAGAGGTGTTAAAATGAACTGTAGAGAATATGAACATTTTGGAAGCATCCATGAATACCTGCCGTTGCCATGACTCCCGCTTTCCAGATGAGTCTGGTTTGAGAACTACTTCACAATAAATAAGTCCAAATAATACAATACCACGTCCCCGTTTTGCAGCTACATCTATTTTCTGCAAATTCTAAGCTTTCTTTAACCATGAACCTGGAAAACCTCCTTTAAAGTATTTCGTTCAGGTTAGTGCTGAGTTAGGTTCAAACAAATGAACCTGAGCCTAAAACATGATGTTATTTGCATTATTATTGCAGTGTTAACATGAGTTATCCCCTTCTGATCCATTTGGAGGTGGTCCAGAATTAGGACCAGAACCACAACCTTTTATAATGTTTATTATTAGCTTCATGTTAGCATCATGTTATCACTCAGTTAGCATATGATCTAGCATCGCACAAACTGACATGTATATAACATAAAATAAATGTGAGTTACAGACTTTTGCAACAGAGAAAATCACCAGGAAACTTTTTGAGCATTCGAAAGCAAATGTTATAATTTTCTTGTCAAATTTTTGATCTCGGCTTTTTGCTCTTTGGATTTCCCGCCTTCGATAGCAACATTAGCGACGTTAGCCGACGTTAGCGGACATTTTAGCGGAGGAGAGGTCCAGGGTTTCTAAATGTTTGAGTTTCACCATATCTTATAACGTGGATACAGGGTATATTATATCCTGAACAAAAATGCCCAAAAAAAAAGTGGTTCCGGGTTCGGACCTCGAGGCGCCGCGGCGCTTTGGAAGCTCATGGCCGGGCCGAGACAGTGCCGTGCTTACATAATTAAACTGGACAGGGACCGACCAAAACCTGAATAACTTTTGAAAATTTTAATAATAATGTCTAGTGTGAAGCTGGAGTCTGCTCACTGCTAAAATGTGCCCGCCGAAAATCATATCAGTATTTGCTCATAGGAAACTGCCAATAACATTAGCTAAAAGTAAAACAATTATATTTATATTATTTGTTTAGGTTTTAAAAACCTCGTTCCGTGGATATTTATGTTTTAACCAAAGTCACTAATAAGTTATCTTACTCAAGCTAATTACAGGTATTTTTAGCAATTATAATTGTTATTATATTTTGTTCCATTTGGTCCTAAGACGGTTTGTTTTATTATTGTTTGCAGCCTGAAGTGGCATAAAAACAATTCAAATTTAAATCATTAACCGTTATCAACCCAATCATGAAAGTCCATGATCCGGGCCGCGCCAGAGGCCACACATGTGGAGCTAATTCTCAACTGGTAAAGTACCAGGTGCGAGCTAAGCAATCTCACTGGTAAAGTTAACCATGTGGGCGCTGAACTAAAAAAGGTCTCGTTATGATTCTCAAATCGATAACGACAAAACAAGGAATAAAACCAGGATTTCTATCTTTGTGAAAAGGTGTTGGTTATAGATTTGTTGTTGACTAAACTCTTGTCTATTCAGCTGTTATGGTCCCCAGCTGGATTCGTCTGCATATCTGGCAACCTGAGTCAGGGAGAGTGGGAGAGGCTGCAGTACCACTTTTTGGCCACACTTTACAACTGCTCCTTTAAAGACCATAAGACGGGTGTTTATCTTTTTTAAATTGTGGGAAATCAAAATCCATTACAAGTCGATCTTGAAATGAGATTTCCGGGCAAAAAAAACCTATAATTGTATAAAGAGAGGGAAGCGGTAGGGGGGGAGGCGGAACTGTGTTTCGTGAAGTTTATGTTGTCTTTGCTCTAACCTTGGTGTGACGAAAGTCACAAAGCGGGTAACGCCCATGGCATTGAAAACCATGGTTTCATGCCACAGACTGCCTTTTCTCTCTTCTCTCGCACATTGCCCAACACAATAACTGGCCCTCAGTGCCATACAGGTGGCAGGCGCGAGATTGCTCACTACACATAAATGCCGTTTGAGAAGTGAAAAAGTGTCCTGAGGTGGGATTTGAACCCATAGAAGTCTCGATGACAGTCCATCAACACAACCATCTGACTATATCTACAAGTAACTTCGCTGTAATCACACGGCCCTTGTCATCTTGAATATCCGCGAAAAAAGAACGAATACCAAATTGTAAACAACTTACAGCGTCTGAAACGTTCCCACTAAATTCTGACTCACCTAAGGCTGTGAAGGTTTTTTTTTCGTTTCTAAGGCGTTGCTATTGGTTATTTCGATTTGGGGACAGACAAAAAAAACCAACAACCTGATTTTGAAACCCTTTTAGTAGATCTCCTTCTAATATAAAATGTATTAAAAATAGTATTCTAAATAAATCAAACCCGGCATAAGGGCTTTAAGATAACAGCACCAAGTCGAGTTTGAGAATTTCTTTATGTCGACCTCCGTTTTATCCTCGTCCAAATGAACCTCAAGTTCAAAAAAACAATAAGTTTTTTTAATAAAAGAATCCGTCTAAAAACCTGAGCTTATGCATATATTTTAAATGGCAACCGACATCTTTTAAACTAATCAAATACACTCAAAACATGACAGAAAACCCTGGCTTGATTTTCATAATTATTCCCTGAATCTGGAAAGAGTTTTTCTCTCACTGACCTCTCCAACGCTCGCTCGTCTCGTCCCCTGAAACGCCTCCAAAAGGGGCCGCCCTCGCCGCGCCGC